TCTTAGCAAAGCAAGGCATGCAGAGTTCAATGTGACATTTAAGTAAACAATTTCCAAATACTGCTAATAAGCAACATTTAAGAACACTTTTTAAAGTACTCCTACTCTAAAATGTGGACATAGATAATGCAAAGCAAATATAATTCATTTATAATTTAAAATCTAGCTAAACAATTGTTTCCCTTGTACTAAAGATCTCTTTTCCTCCTCCAATCCTACTAACACATATGTCTTTAACCACTACAAGCCTGGACAATGTTATCCTTGTGGGCTGTGATGTAGTAAAGATCTATATTAATATCCTTGGAGATCTGATGGACAGAAAAACACACAACTGTTTTAAACACCCAAGGACTTCTGTTAAGGGCGCCTGGGTGGCTCAGTTGGTTAAGCGACTGCCTTCGGCTCAGGTCATGATCCTGGAGTCCCTGGATCGAGTCCCGCATCAGGCTCGCTGCTCAGCGGGGAGTCTGCTTCTCCCTCTGACCCTCCCCCCTCTCATGCTCTCTCTCTATCTCATTCTCTCTCAAATAAATAAATAAAATCTTAAAAAAAAAAAAAAAAGGACTTCTGTTAAGTACACTGATGACAATGGAAAAGCAAAGAGTCACAGGGAAAAACACCCCTGAATCTCTAGATATGCTTTATACAAACAGATGTCCTTAAATCTCTAACACTGGAATAGCTGAGCAAATGATCTATCAGTTTGATGGAATATTATATAAGCATTAAGATTAAAGATGATAAAGCTATGTAACACAATTTTATAATATAACCTAAAACATCTTAAATATACTTTTATATCTAGATATAACTATAAAATACTACATATAAGTGCAAAGACTTGAAGAAAATAAGAAATGAGTATTTGGTACAGTTATAGGGACTCCTCCAACCATCTGTATGTTTACAAAGTAAATAAAAATCAGAAGGTCAAAAATGCAATGCCTCCTCTCTCTAAAGAACTATAAAACTATCATCAGCACCTTGGTAATCACCTCATATTTATGGTCTATACTAAGCACACCAAAACTTGCTATATATTACCCTTCTGGGCAAGGTCACCTGATAAAAGGGAAACAAGGTCCTGTCTGAGTAGTTTCATTAAGAAGAGAGAGAAAAAATGACTACTTTACCTCATAGCAAGGTGACAGAGGTATTTTAACCAATTTTACTGCCATTGTCAAGTGTCAAATTTAACATTACTTTTTACCAAAATTAACAACTGTATCCAATTCAAACCCAGAAAATTACAAAATGCAAATAGACCATGTATAAATTACAATTTAAGTGACAAAGATGATATCAGTTTGGTCAACTTTACATGAAAAATTATATCTCTGTAAGAGTAAGAGATATATAGATTCAAGAATATTCTGATACAGACATAAACCTTCTATTACTTTATGCCTGCCACTGAGCATCATATGGATCAAAAGCTTGATAAAGGAACTCTGAAATTACTGGTCCTATCTCAAAATACAAAATTGGTTTGGATTCTATTAATATGATTATAAAAATTACCCTCCACAACTAACTCCTTGAAGAAATTAATAAGCTGACCCTAAAATTCACATGGAAATGCAAAAGATCCACAACGGCCAAGACAAACTAGAAAAAGAACAAAGTTGGAGGATTCACGCTTCCCAGTTTAAAACTTACTTCAAAGTTTAGTAATCAAGACTGTGTGATAGTGGCATAAAGACAGACATCTAGATCAATAGAACAGAACTGAGGAGGCCAGATAAATTTTTATGGTCAAATGGTTTTTGAAAAAATGCCAAGAAAAGTCAATAGGGATAGAAGAGTCTTTTCAACAAATGGTTTGGAGACAACCAGATACCCACTACAAAATAATGAAATCAGATATCTACCTTGTACAGTATATGAAAATTAACACAAAATGGATACTCAGCTGCAAAACAATAAAAGTGGGCCCCTAATTCATACCATATACGTAAATTAACATAAAATGGATCATGGTATAAGAGCTAAAACCATAAAATTCTTAGAAACAAACAAAAGAGTAAATCTTTCTGACCTCACATTAGCTTCTTAGATATGACAACAAAAATAGAAACAAAAGAAAAAAATAAATTAGAATTTATCAAAATTAAAAATTTTTGTGCTTCAAAGGATACCACTAAGAAAATGAAAAGACAACCTATAAAATAGGAGAAAATATCTACAAATCACATATATGATAAGGAACTTATGACTTAAAGGACACTCACAACTCAGTAAAAAAAAAAAAAAAATGTTTTAAAGGGCAAAGGATTTGAATGGATATTTCTCAAAAGAAGATACAGAAATGGTCAAAAGCCATGTGAAAAGATGTTCAACATCATTAGTCATTAGAGAAATGCAAATCAAACCACAATGATACTTCTTCACACCAACTAGAATGGCTAAAATCAAAAGGACACACATTAACAAGCAAGAATGTGGAGAAACTGGAATCCTTTTGCAATGCTGGTAGGACTGTAAAATAAGGCAGCCACTTTGATAAATAGTTTTGACAGTTCCTTAAAATATAAAATAACAAGTTACCACATAACCTAGCAATTCCTAGGTATATATTCAAGGGAGTGAAAAAATAGGCCCACACAAAAACCTATACATGAATGTTCACAGCAACACTAATAGTAATAGCCAAAAAGTGGAAACAACCCAAATAGCCATCAACTGATGAATGGATAAACAACATGTGGCATACTCATACAATGGATTATTATTCAGCAATAAAAAGGTATAAAGTATTAACATATGCTACAACACAGATGAACCTTGTAACATTGTGCTAAGTGAAAGAAGTCAGTGCATTTAACAGGCTATTTGCATATTTCCTTTAACTATTTCTCCTCTACACCTTTTATACTCAACCACCCAAATACTATGTCCTCTATAATATCTGCCCCATGATCCCCTTCCAGGACCCACTAGACTCTATTAAACCATTTCTTCCACTCTGACTAATTATTACAGTCATCTATGGACATGTTCAGGGCTCCCTGCTTTCTGGTAAGACTGTCAATCAGTTCTGTATCTTTAATAAAACAGTGGCTTATATATAAGGGTGTTCAGTGTTCTTAAGGGATAAACGTCATTACAATAAAAAGAACACAGGCTTTAAGTCCGACTCTTGATCTGAGCTCAGGTCTTGATCTCAGGGTTGTGAGTTCAAGCCCTGCATTGAGCTCCACACTGGAGGTGGAGCCCACTTTAAAAAAAAAAAAAAAAAGAACGTGGAATTTGGAATTTAAAGTCTAAGAGTCCTTCATGTATTCAATGAATGGTTACTGGTCACCTATTTTGTACTTGAACTGAATTGAACTCAAATCTAGATCTCCCAATACTTCATTGGTGAACTCATTCAATATTTGTGTAATGTTGAGCAAGTTACTTAAGCTCTCTCTAAATCTACCTTCCTCTCTAAATTGTGCTATCTATCCTTCACAAAAGTTTGAGGATTGGGGCACCTGGGTGGCTCAGTCGGCTAAGCGGCTGCCTTTGGCTCAGGTCATGATCCCAGGGTCCTGGGATCAAGCCCCACATTGGGCTCCTTGCTCAGCAGAGCCTGCTTTTCCTTCTCCCTCTCTCTCTGCCTGCCTGCCACTCTCCCTGCTTGTGCTCTCTCTCTCACTATCTCTCTCTCTGTGTCAAATAAATAAAATCTTAAAAAAAAAAAGTGTTTGAGGATTAAATTCAATATTATATTCCTTTTCGTACATATGTCTTCAATAAATGCAATTTCCTTTTTCTTCCTTTCCTCAAAAGTAGCTGAACACATTTCTTTTGGTCTGTGAAAATATGTGGTAGATAGAGGATATACCCAGGAGAAAAATGATCTCAAACTTTAAAAGCAAGTTAATTTCAAATTTATATTATAAACCCCACGTTTTATTTGTAAAATTACCTGTTTATAGAGTCTGAGAAGTAATGTCATTTGAACTGGAGAGCTCTCATTCTCACAATGATACCACTATAGTTGCTAGAAAATTACTTTATCCTAACCAAAATTTGCTTTTCCAAGAGGCTTGAATGTCTTATAGGAACACTTTCTTAGGCAACAAATTTAGCAAATATAATAAGCCCTTATACTCTGCAGAAGATACTGTACAGGGTGCTTTATGTGTTAATTACACTTTCCAAATGAGATGTCACCTTTCTTTGAATTTCCATGCAAATTTTATTTATTATTTTTTTAAGCTTTTATTTATTTATTCGAGAGAGAGAGAGAGAGAGAGCGTGGGGGGAGGAGTAGAGGGAGAGGGACAAGCAGATACCACACTGAGCATGGAGCCCAAGGCAGGGCTCGATCTCAGGATCCCGAGACCATGACCTGAGTTGAAACCAAGAGTCGGAGGCTTAACCAACGGAGCCACCTAGGCACCCCTCCATGCAATTTTTTTTTCATGCAATTTTTAAATTTATCTTGTGGCACTCCCTCTTTGCCTTGCTTTTATTCTTCTAACACAACTATGAAACCAGTATTCTTACCCATTAAAATGGTATACTAAATTACTACAATTTCCTATGGAAAATGATTCTAGAGCATAAATAAACCCCAGGCTATATTTAGTGCTCTTTGACCTAGCCATCTAATTTCTGGGAATCAAAGACACAATATTGAATTTGGGAAAACATACAGGCATATATGCACATATATGTGTGTGTATACATATACATACACGTATATACATAAACATGTTACTACAGTAGAAATAAGAACAGAGAAAAACTGGATGCAACCTAGATGTTTCTAGTCATGAAATATCATATAGCCATTAATAATGTTGATGATGGTACAAAAACTTAACAGGGCATTATGAGAGATTAAAGCAAAATTCAAAATTAGTTCCTAAAACATAAATATAACAGGAAATATTTCTCACAAAAATAAAGGACAATAATTATGTTATTGTGACAGATTTATGGGTATTTTCTCAAAATTTGTAAACACATATTTTCATAAGTTAAAAAAATAAGCATACTTTTACCTTATCCCAGAAATCAACCAAAGCTGTAAAGTCCCATTTCTTAGAATATGCCACATTGTATTTCAGGATAGCATCCTATGGAAAAAGCATAAACAAAACCTCATGATATAGTCAAGTAAATTATCTATGAATACCCTTTCTCCTTTATGAACTACTTCCAGTAAACTTCTTAATCAGCATTAAGCTTCCTCCTACCATTAGCTACTCCATATCAGTAGCTATGAACAAACAGAATACACACTAATTTCTTATTCACTTAAGAAAAATGAGATTAGACAGGTCAAGCAATAGGAAAAAAATCATAACTCCAACGCTTGCATTATAAACAGAGGTGATACACTCAATGGACAAAAATTGGATCTTGGAGATAAAAAAAATTAAATATCATAATGACTGTTGGCTATCAATAGATTCACACTATACATGCAAATATACAGTGTATTTGCAGTATTAAAATTTCATGAGAAGAGTAAATTAGGGAAAAATGTCTAAAAAGGCTTCCCAGGAGAGATGGCAATAATGAAAAAAAGATTGAGAAACATTGCTTTAAGCCATAAAATGGTCTTTTTTCCTTTATTATCAGCTGTTTTTATAAGCTACATATAAATGGCTATCTTTCCCCATCAGTTCATATAAACTATATATTTATGTAGAGAGAAAAGTGAAAATAGCACGCCATCTACTGGTGTGACATCTAACTGACTAGGCAGTACTTTATTCTTGGTTAACGGTGATAAAAACAAAACAGGCCCCAAAAGGAGTCAATTATGCTAAACCGTACTTCTCCAGAGACTTGACTTAATTACAGTTTCAGCCTCTCCCACAAATGGAATCTTAAACCAGTCAATGAGGAATCACCTGGTCAGCACTAGATAGTTCATGATAGAACTCTCCATCCCCTAAAGGAAAATGACTGCCACAACCAATCTTTTTCCTAGTACAACTTACTTGCTTCCAGTCCCTTCTGCCTATAAGTCTTTCATTTTGTACAGCATCTTAGAGTGCCTTTCCATCTGCTAGATAAGGCCCTGCCTGATTCATAAATCATTGAATAAAGCCAGTAAGATCTTTAAAATTTACTCAGATGAATTTTATTTAATACCAGAGTGGGGTGTGCATAAGACAATCCATTAGTTATGCAGAAAGAACTATTATGGTTGATCCAGGTACAACACAAGAATTGAAAATCTGCATGTAACTTTTGACTCCCTCCAAAAACTTACCTACTAATAGCCCACCGTTGGCCAGAGCCTGATAACATAGTCAATTAACACATATTTTGTATGTTACATGTATTATATACTGCATTCTTATAATCAAGTAAGCTGCAGAAAAGAAAATATTAATAGAATTATAAGGAAAATACATTTACAGTACTGTATTATCCAAAAAAATCTGCACAGGAGACTGGTGCAGTTCAAACCTGTGTTGTTCAAGGGTCAATCGTATTTATAATTATATTTTATCTCATCCTTTTAAATTTCTATTTTGGTTATATTTTATAATGTATATATTACTAAAGTAATACACATTGAATTTATAAGCAACTATTTATATTTATAATATACATCTCCAATTTTTTTACTGAAGGTGTATGTAAGTTGAAAAAACACTGTTAGATTACTTGACTAAGTTTTTAAAAATTAATACTCTGCCAAAAATTAATACTCAGCTGCCTGAAAAATACTTCATGCCATATAAACAAACACCAAGCACCTAGATTAAAAAGTAAACCAACAATATATATTTACTTGGAATCAGGAGATATCTAATTTCCTTCAAAACATCAATCATAAGATAATAGGGCAAAAGGAGTTTATTTTTCTTACAACCACATGCAAAATTTTCCATTAAGAAAAGATTTTAAGGGGGGCGCCTGGGTGGCTCAGTCGTTAAGCGTCTGCCTTCGGCTCAGGTCATGGTCCCAGGGTCCTGGGATCGAGCCCCGCATCGGGCTCCCTGCTCAGCGGGAAGCCTGCTTCTCCCTCTCCTACTCCCCCTGCTTGTGTTCCCTCTCGCTATGTTTCTCTCTGTCAAATAAATAAAATCTTTAAAAAAAAAAAAAAAAGAAAAGATTTTAAGGATTTTTTTTCTAATTACTGTTATCTGATTTCAGAACCTCATACAAAGTATTAAACAGCAATGTCTATCAACAGGTAAAAAGACAAACAATGCATACACTCCAACAAACTGCTGATACGCTCAACAACATGGATGAATCTCGAAAATTTTCATTCTGAGTGAAAGCCAGACACACTAGCATACATACTATGTGATTCCATTCATGTAAAATGTAAACTAATCTATGGTTAAAAAAAAAAAGAAAAAGAGAAAAGCAAATCAGTAGTTGCCTGGGGACAGAGCAGAAAGAGGAATCAACTACAGGAATAAGAGGAATCTTTGAAGGTGACAGAAATGTTCTGTACCTTGATTGTAGAGGGGGTTTCATGGGTATATGCAAATGTCAAAAATTATGAAATTACATACTTGAAAAGCATGCATTTTCTTACATGTAAAGTATTCCTCAAAGTTGGTAAAGAAAAACATTTTACATTCTAACTTTTACACTCTTAATTCTTTTTTTTTTTTTTTTTAAGATTTTATTTATTTTTTGACAGAGAGAGACAAAGAAAGAGAGGGAACATAAGCAGGGGGAGAGCGAGAGGGAGAAGCAGGCCTCCCGCCGAGCAGGGAGCCCGATGCGGGGCTCGACCCCAGGACCCTGGGATCACGACCCACGCCGAAGGCAGACGCCCAACAACTGAGCCACCCAGGCGCCACCTACACTCTTAATTCTTTAATGGGATTTTATAATTAGTATTAATTCCTAACTAATATCTACTTTTACTTTAGTCTTCAAGTCTCAAAAGTAATCTACCACAAGGTCTCCTATCATTAGAAAAACCGGATGCTGTTCTGTATTCTTAGCTATCAACTACTGAGATTTCCTTTAATTCATAATTCATGATACGCACAATTAGTTAAAACACAAAGAAGTCCATTCTTTGCAAATTATCAGACACATCAATTATAGAAATATTACTGTGTAAATTGACTTTTGAAGACACTATTCCTTTTTTATTTTTTTTTATTTATTTTATTTATTTTTTTAAGATTTTATTTATTTATTTGAGAGAGAGAATGAGATAGAGCGAGCATGAGAGGGGGGAGGGTCAGAGGGAGAAGCAGACTCCCTGCTGAGCAGGGAGCCCAATGCGGACTCGATCCCAGGACTCCAGGATCGTGACCTGAGCCGAAGGCAGTCGCTTAACCAACTGAGCCACCCAGGCGCCCGACACTATTCCTTTTTTAAACTTTTAACCTTTCTAATCCCACTTAACTCAATATCAAATAAAAGCAGTAAAAAGATTATTATACTCAGTAAGAGGGACTTAATGTTCCCCCCCCACAGTGTTCTTTCAGCAAAAGAAACAATTACCATAAGCAGATAGAAGAAAATCTCGATGAATTACTCTGTTCTGTTGAATCTACCATAAAATAAACAAGAAAGGGAAATTCAGAGTAAAGCAATTACCCCTTCTTAAAGTAATCACTGGTGCACTAAGGAATTGCTAAAGAGGTGAGCAGACAAGGTAATTTAGAACACTATGATTATTCTGTGTTTATGCTTAAAGAAAAAAACATGAAAAATTTAAATAATCCTGCTTATAAGGCCGTCGGACCTAAGACAGTGTTTCTCAAATGGAGTATAGATAGTATTCTTAGGCGGCCTGCTTCTGTTTTTCTAAGTTTATAATTGTGGTTTTGGAACACAAAGGGCAAAAGACAACACACTGTAGGAATGAAGGCTGGTGCTTTAAGCAGATAAAAATGGTGAAAATTTTGAGCTATCCTAAGATATACTGTAGTACAGGACTGTCAAATTCTACAGAACCTGGACCAAAATGCTATCATTTTTATTTGCAAGCTGATGTTCTCTATACAGATCCCATCTTTGTATCTACTAACATCCACCAACTGTTTGTGACTAGTGAGTAGTAAAAAGAAAATGAAGAATTTTTTTCTTTATAAAGTATTTTTTAAAGTTCTCAGCATACTATTTTGAGGTTCAGATCAGTGGTTAAAAAACTTTTGTGCAAAAAGGGGATACTGAGTATAAACTGTTTTCACTGTGATAATGAACACAACTCAAATGATGGTTCATAATGCTTAAAATGTAAAAAAAATCAAATGGACATAGCTGTAAGTATAAAGAGTTTATATTCAATTTTATGCTTGTACATATGCAGTTAACATTATACTAAAAATAAGTAAACTCTGGCAGATCCTGAGAGCTTCTTCCATTTAAAAGGAGTACATTACAAGATTGAGAAACACTGTCCTTAAGGAATGAAATTTTCAAAATACATTATGATACAACATCCAATGTTTTCCATGTAGAGAAAAAAGAAAAGCAAACAGGAGCTATAGAAAGGTACAGAAAGTTTAAGAATAACTTGTTAAGTATAAATGGAAAAACAGTATAAAACCTGAGGAAACTGTACACAACAAACTAAGTCTCTCAAAGAAAATGAAACCCATTTTCACACAAGTATAGAAAAATCTATTATTATTATAGTTATAAAACCTTTAAAAGTTTACATGGCTATAATGCCAAAAATAAACATATACTCACCCATATTTTAGATATTAGAAAAACAACCTAATGGTTGCTCTTACAGTCTTAAGTGAAATATTAAAAAAATCAAAAAATAAATTATTGCCAAAATGTACAATTAATAAATAATTAGATTGCTAGAAGCTATATTAACAGCAATATAAAACAGAATGTTTAATGTATACTTTAATCATTAGGAAACTCTGTTCCCTTTGGGCAAATATTGCTAAAGTCATAATTCTTTCATGATTTACTTTTAAAGATATTTCAGAAACATGATAATTCTAAAAAATAAAAGAAGCCTGGTCTGAAGGAAATTGGATGGGGAATCAAGAAACAAAGGTCTTATTCCTCGTTCTCCAAATTATTCTGTGTAGCTCCAGGCAAGTCATTTACAACTCTAGATTCTTCTACTCATTTGCTAGTGATGGAGTGGAAACCAAGAATGTCTCTTAAGAAAGTTCCTCAGGAAGCAAGCACTTTGCATACAAATATGTTGTTACCCGAGTCTATTAAAGATCAAAAAATGTCTTTAAGGGACACACGAGGCCACGAGGCCCATCTCTAAGAATTACATACCAGAGGCAACAATAGCAAAAACAACTACCTTCAGGTTTTGGGGTCGTGTGAATTTGTTGAGAAGTGCAGTTTGAATGAGCTCCCACCGGCTCCCTGCAGTTCGCTCACCATTCTTTAAGGAAAAGGAAAAACAAATGAAATTATTCTAAGTTCTTTTGGATCACAGAATCAGAAGTCAAACAAACACATACTAAACTATCGTTCAGACTAAAAAAACATCTGTTTTGTGCTTACTTCATCTTCCACAGGGTACAAGTTTTGTTCTGAACAAGGCATCTTAACATGCTTGTTGTCCCACAAATCTTTGAAATGTGTTGGAAAGGGTTTAGGAACTTCTCCGGCTCGCAAAAGGTCTACCTGAAAGAGAGGGAAACAAGGAAACTGTAAGTGCATAAAAATTAGGCGTGCCTTCTACAAAATAATCCAAATTAAAGCAGCCAAAGTAAATGCTATAAAATGCAGACCAGCTCCTCTGTAAGAATCTGAGAAGTCCTCTCCAGCTGTTCCTGCTCCTTATCTCCAGTTGATCAGTTTCCAAGTCATCATATTTGCTCATTCCATCTCCATCCCATCTAGGCCTCTAGTCCTCATTATTGCTTGCCTTCTAGCCCTCCCCTAACTCCCACTGCCCCCAGATATTCACCCTCCATAAAGCCCTTATTCTCACTTGGGAACAACCTTAATCTTTCTAAAGTATTCCCAGGCTCTTAATCCTATAATGGCTCCCCTCTGCCTATAGTGATTCCAAATGATGTTCCTAGTTTTTAACATCCTCTCTTACCCAAACACTGTCTGGTTAAACATCTATTCTGACCTTCAACACTCGACTCAATTTTCATTTCCTCTAAGAAGTCTTCAAAAACTTAAGGACAGTTAGTTTATTCCCTCCTGTTTTATTAGATCATTATCACACCAGAGCACACCTGTTTTTCCTTCCCTAACTGGGCTCTAAACTTCCTGAGAATAATAACCGTATTAACTGTGGATTCTAAATATTCATGAAAGAGCGTGGCTTATGTGTTTTTGCATGCATATATGTAGATACATATACATGTGGCAAATGAGCTGAACTCCAAAGGATAAGAAGAAGTTAACTAGGAAAAGGAAGACAGGAAGCTTGTTCCTCAAAAAGGGAACAGCTAATGGAAAGGAAGACTGTCCAATAGGCAGCTCATAAAAGTCTGCAACTCAAGGAGTGCCTGGGTGGCTCAGTCAGTTAAGTGTCCAATTCTTGATTTCAGCTCAGGTCATGATCTCAAGCCCTGAGTCAGACTCTGCTCTGGGTTAGTTACACATATATATTACTGTATTCAGGAAAAAGAATCTAGAAGAAAATACACCAAATTGTTAAACTCTGGAAATAGGACTAAGAGACTTGGGTTTTGAGTTACATACTTTCATATAATAGCTGCCTTTTTAATTTTTTTTACAATGAGCCTACATTACTTTAATAAAATAAAGATTTTTTAAAAGATTTTTAAAATTCACAGGTTATACCCCTGAAACAAATACTACATTATATGTTAATAAAAATAAAAAAATAAAAAAACAAAAGCTGAAATGGTACAAATAAAATAAAATAAAAAAGTAAAAAAAAATTCACAGGTTATTGGATATCTAAAAATAAGTAAACAGTAGGGGCGCCTGGGTGGCTCAGTCGTTAGGCATCTGCCTATGGCTCAGGTCATGATCCCAGGGTTCTGGGATTGAGACCCACGTCGGGCTCTCTGCTTAGCGGAAGCCTGCTTTTCCCTCTCCCACTCCCCCTGCTTGTATTCCCCCTCTCGCTGTCTAGCTCTCTCTGTCAAAATAAATAAATAAAATCTTTAAAAAAAAAATAAGTAAACAGTAATTACAGAGATTAAGTAATCATGGTATAGGATGCTTTGGGTTTTCCTTATGGCCAGTGAGAAAAAGAAAGGCAGTAAACTCAAAATGTCACTTAGCTCTTCAATCAATCTTTTCTCCGAATCTTGACCATTAACATCTTCTCAGTCATCCAGCCTTTTCTTAATTTTCCCTGCATTATCAGTGCCTCCTTTTCCCTTATCACCCGTATTTAAGAATATTCACCATATCCTATCAATTTTACCCCAAAACAAAGCAACCATCTATATTCTTTATTTCCACATGACCCTATCTCAGTGACTTTCAAACTCTTTTAAATATCAGAACCCTTTCTTCACCTAAGAAATGTGACATGAAATCATATTTAAATAAAACTGTTTTTATAAATATAATTTTTCAATAACTTTTATTTGTTCTAACATCAATAAATGACAATGAGATTACAATATATCAAGCTCCATACTCAGCAGGGAGCCTGCTCCTCCCTCTCCCTCTGCTGCCATTCCCCCTGCTTGTGCTCGCTCTCTACCAAGTAAATAAATAAAATCTTTTAAAAAAAAACTGGATTAACCCTACGACCCAGCAATTGCACTACTGGGTATTTACCCCAAAGATACAAATGTAGTGATCTGAAGGGGCATGTGCACCCCAATGTTTAAGCAGCAATGTCCACAAAAGCCAAACTATGGGAAGAGCCTAGATGTCCATCAACAGATGAATGGATAAAGAAGATGTGGTATATATACACATGGAATATTATGCAGCCATCAAAAAAAAAAAAGAAATCTTGTGATGTGCAATAACATGGATAGAACTAGAGGGTATTACGCTAAGCGAAATAAGTCAATCAGAGAAAGACAATTATTGTATGATCTCACTGATATGTGGAATTTGAGAAACAAGACAAAGGATCATAGGGGAAGGGAGGGAAAAATGAAACAAGACAAAACCAGAGAGGGAGACAAACCATAAGAGACTCTTAATCTCAGGAAACAAACTGAGGGTTGCTAGAGTGGAGGGGGGTAGGAGGGATGGGGTGGCTGGGTGATGGACATTGGGGAGGATATGTGCTATGGTGAGTGCTGTGAATTGTGTAAGACTGATGAATCACAGACCTATACCCCTGAAACAAATAATACATTATATGTTAATAATAATAAAAAAAAAATTGCCTATAACCCAGCAATTGCACTACCAGGTATTTACCCCAAAGATAAAAATGTAGTGATCCAAAGGGGCATGTGCACCCCAATATTTAAGCAGCAATGTCCACAACAGCCAAACTGTGGAAAGAGCCTACATGTCCATCAACAGATGAATGGATAAAGAAGATGTGGTATATATACACAATGGAATATTATGCAGCCATCAAAAAAAAAAGAAAAGAAATCTTGCCATTTGCAATGACATGCATGGAACTAGAGGGTATTATGCTAAGCGAAATAAGTCAGAGAAAGACAAGTATCATATGATCTCACTGACATGAAGAATTTGAGAAACAAGACAGAGGATCATAGGGGAAGG